TATTGATTTTAAATGACAATAGTTTCCATTTCAATTAAGTAAAAGAAGCAAAAAAGGCACAATATTATCATGGGCTTAATTTTTGTCAATAGTAGAAAATCTTGTAGGTATAAAGAAAGTTTATATGGAAATAAAGTGAACATTTTCTATCTTGAAATAGTGAGGAACAATCAGATGTGTTTTCTAGACTTTGGAAAAACATACTTCAAAAAATTCAAAGAAAAGTTCATCATGCTTCCTCAGTCAGATTACTAAGAAGCAAAAATTCTGATGAACAATTGGAGGCAATGAGAGTGTAATTCTAATCATACTAATTTTAATAATTTTGCAAACCTCTCCAGACACTATTCTGTGTGGTGTAGTTTGCTTTTAACCATTCTGAATGTCAGAGATGTCTTTCAGAATATGATGAATACTGGTGATCTTATCCCACCCTTCGTCCCCCATCATAAATGCACATGTACATATATCTTCCATATATGTACATATCATTTCATGTAGTCTATAGATTCATTGGTGCCCAATCATTTTTTGGTTAGGTGATTCTTTAAAAGTCCAGCTTAAATAAACCTCTTATTTAAAAGTTTTTTTTAATTTATATATAATCAGCTGAAAGTAATCTTATCTACTGAACTCCTATGAAATGCTACCTGATCCTTTTCATTAGGTTGTATTACAAAATTCTAGGCATAGCTCAGCCTCACTTCTATAGAGGCTATAACTTGAGAGCATGACTCATGTTCATAGTCCTCACAGAGGTTGAATGAATGAAGGAAAATACAATAGTAGGAAAAAGGAGACACATAACTGCAATGAATATACAGTGTATAAATATACACATTTATACAGTTTATGTATAAACATTCCCTGAAGCTCCCACTTTAGCAGGATGCTAAATAAAAGAAATCTAAGTTTTCTCAGTACTAATGGAGATTTACTTCCTAGCTCTTTTCTCTGGAGACAAATGTAGGTCTCCTCAAGGACAGGAAGATTTGCATATGAGGTATGATTTAAAGGGCTAGAAACATCTTTTTTGCTGTCTCCAAAATGCTTCAATATGTTTTGTCATATTGCCTGATAACTTGCATTAGAGATTTATCCTTTTGAGATAATAAAATGCAAATATCTCTGAAAGGGTTTCTTCTGCTTTAGTCATACTCATATGGCTACTAGTGAACAAAATATGTTCATTACAGGATAAAGAGAAGATTGCCAACTAACAAATCCCTAGAGTCTGTACTACACCAAACGTTGCTTAGCAATTTCTACAACTGTCTCAGTCTAGTTTACAAGAATAAAGAGATTAGAAATCAAGGGTATATGGGTATGTTACATAAAGTTGTAAAATTGATATTTACAACTGTGTTTCTGTTCTCTATTGATTTAAAAACAATGGAAATAGAAGATTAATAGGTGGGTGTCGTAGGGTGGCACTAATTCAGTTCTGTGGTATTAGAAGGTGATTGTTAAGCCAAGAGTTGAATGAGGCACAGCATACACTTGTGTAAAAATCCGGGGGAAGGACTTTTCAGGCAGGGGAAAGGGGTAATACCTAGGTCCTGAGGTGGTAAGGAACTGGACAGGTCAGAAACTAAATAATTTCTACTTTCATTATTTTATACATTCAGTTATGCTACCACTTAGGTTAGTCTCTAAGGCCTTCCACAAGTTGGACCTTGCTGAAAATTTAATTCTTCCCTCACCTCTTCTCACCATGTTCCAGGCTAGTCTGTGCCTCTGTGACTTTGTTTAATAGCTGCTCATTCGTTCATTCTTGCCTAATAAACTGTGGCTCATCTCTTAAAATCCACCTCAAGCTTTCACTCTTTGAGGAAACCTCTCACTCTCTCCCACCCATCATCCAAAGAATTGCTCAGTCTGTGCTACCATTGACTTATGCACTTGAGACACTGCTTTGCAATTACTAATTTATGTGTCTGCTTTTATCACTAGTAAGTTTCTTTAGGACAGAGACATTATTAATTCATCCTTGGGTGCCTGTGATCCATAATATTAGTAGTACTGCATAGTACATGGTATTAGTAGTATATAGTAGATACTCAATAAATCATTGTTCAATGAGTGAATGAATGGGATATCTTTTTGCTGTTGTGATTTAACTAATGTAACATTTATCTTCAGAACAGTTTCCATGACATATTTATTCTAGTTAATAGCTGTAAACTAACTCTACACTATAGCCATATTCTATAACCACTAGAATGTTTATCATTATGTCATTTCAAAACAATAAAATGTTAAATTAAATATTATCCTTCATATTTAATGCAAACTATGCTCATGGAAATACTGTGGAAAGATTGAGTAATTTTTAACACACAGTTTTCGATTTTTCCATTTAGCGTACTTTAGTAGATTTTCAGCCTTTTAAATATGTTAGCATTGAGTACCAGGTACTACTTAATGAAAATCATGATTTAATAGTGTGTTTTTTGTGGTTTGTTTGTTCCTCTTTCTAAGTTAGGGTGATAGAATTATGTTTGAGACATTCATTACATTTTATTTAAAAGAACTCACTGTTCCTAATTTGTAAGCTGAGGGCTTTTTCAATTCCTAAGTGTGTGGAATAGCTGGATGAGGAGCTGGGAAAGAGAAATTATAGGAGATGTAGCAAGAGGCGGAAGGAGGATACAGACCTTTTGGCAGGCCAAGTCAAAGGTAGTTTCTGTCAGGGAACTACTAAGCATCATACTTTAAGAGATGACAGAGAAATGGCATTAAAGTAACCATGCAGAATTGGAAATACACATTTGGAGCTTTTTGTTCCCAGAAAGTTTCCAATATATTGGTACTTTCCCAGTATCTAAGGAGATAAGTGTCTAAATGATTGGCATTTGTTCTAGGCTTTATCTATGGTCATGGAGAAATTTTCACCTGCAGGTTCGTCTTGAAGTTGTGTTACAGTCACCTGATACACATTTACTGAATGAACTAAGCTAATGAGCAGAGGTCTAAGCCTTTAATATTAGTCCCTTTATTTATTTGTTTTTAAAGTTTGTGTTAGTATGGACTCCTAGATTCTTATTTAATGGATTAGAATACTAATATTCTTTATTTTGATGCTCAAATTGTTTCAGATTTGGCTTGTAGGAGCTCCTTTAAGATGGTTTGCTTATCCTTTTGATGTGTCCCCCTGATTATTTGAACATTTCCTTGTTTCCTAATATAACAAAATGTTCGAAATTTATCTTGTTTTTTTATTCCCCAGCTCTGGAATCTGCCTTTCCCCACAATTAACTGTGATATTTTTTAGTGGAGAATGATGCTTAGAAACCAGAATATGGTGATTTTTCTTGTTTATTGCAACTGTTGGGCCATTTCTTCTAAGCCCTTTCAGTGGAGAGACCTAGGAATTGTATATAGAGATATTTCAAATATATTTATATGAAATATACTAAATGTATGGGAAAAGATAACTCAAATTGTCATCTTATTATGAACAAAACATTAACATTTTTGAAGGGAAAATATTTGTTATCTACATAGAATGGGCCTAGAAAGTAATAACATTAATCTTGAACTAAGTACACCCAAATAGGTTTCATTAACAGTTAAACATAATGTATCTTAGAATCTCAGCTATTGGAAGGAGACATTGTCTAGAACTGTGATCTAGGTGTTATACAGTATACCCTTGCAGTGTTGTTTCGGATCTGTGTTGGAAGAGAAAAATAAGATCAGGGGACAAAATCTTGTCCTAATCCTTCCTAAAACTTTTAAGCACATGGAGAAAAGATATTGAGCATTCATTACATTCAGAATCTTGAAATGAATGTATAGTTATGAGGGGTATAAACAAACAAGGATGTAGTGACACTATTTACATGGAAACAATACTAGTGTCCTCTCTTTGGATAACTACACTATAGATGCAATACTAACCATTCCACTTAGCAATAGCTTGATGATTATTTGGCCACCAACATGAATAACTTGTTAAGAGACGATGATGAGGAGTTGTGAACATCTGAATAATCAGGATTTGAATCATAAAATCCTAAACTATGTATCCAAATTCTTACAGAGTTTTCTCCCAGCCTGTCATGGAGGGCTTTAACAGTCTGTTTCTTCTATTACATTGAAAACCAGAGCTTCTCTACTTGGCTTACTCATTCCAAAGATTAAATCATTAAAGGTAGGAGCTTACCTTTACTGATATATTTGCTTTTCAGAAAAATTAAGTATAGCCTGATAAAGTTCATTTTATGTAGTATAATAAACAAAGATTCTCATTTTAATAAACACTTGCTAACTATTGCATTATAGTAATTTAATAATGACCTGAAAATAATGTAAAAATATATGTGTACATATATGTGTATATGTTCATATAATACATATGTTATTTTTAACTTCAGAAATCATAAAAAATAAAATAGATACCTGAAGAAGCCACAGCTGTAATTAAAAAAATATAATTTGACAGTGTTAGAAAGCAAAATTAACTAACAATTATTAAGAAGTTACTATGTGGTACACACCATATGTATTGCATTTTATTTAATTATAAAACAATATAATTACTAGAGCTATTATTATCCCCATTTTATAGAAGAAGAAACTGAGATTACCTACCTTATTAAACTTGGTCAACTTCTTGTAACTTATAATTAATACATTGTAGAAATAGGACTCAAACCCACATATGTTTACTTTAGACCCCATGCATCACATAAACCTTCACATGAAGTATGCCATATAAATCACACTACTTCTGGCCAATAACAATTTTACTAAATTGATTCTTTGTTTTTTTGTCTGTAAAAGAAGGATGTTGGCCTATCTTAGCCAACCTCAGTGTTTTTAACAATCAATAAATGCATTCGTCACACGTAATATTTTTTTTAATGTTCTGTATTCGTGATTGCAAAATAACTATGACTCAGTTATGCTTTGAACTTAATTTCAGTGCTATTAATTAAAACACATCTGTATACATCTGAAAAATACCAGTCGTGACAATAGCACAGAGAGCTTGGTTTTGAAAAATAATTTAAATTATAATTAAAAATGAACCAAAGGTACATAGAGAAGGTGTGGACCACACATATGTGGCTGAAAGCTGACCCTCAGTCATCTTAAATGGATTTTATCAAAAGGGATGCCTAAGAGACCGCAGGATCCCAACAAGAGAGTCTGTGAAGAGATGGCCTGCTGAGACCCAAATCACAGTGAAGTACCCTTGAGAGATGCCTGCTAATGAATGGGGAGAGGAGTAAATAGTCTGAAGAACCCTACAAGGAAATGAAACACCCTGCAAGGGAGAAAGACCAAGAGTCAGCTTTGACACCTCCCAAACCAGACAGCAGTCAATGATGGCAGCTCACAAAAGTACAAGCATGCAGGAGCTTTGCTATACCCTCACATCTCCTCTCTCCACCATCTTAAAACCTGGTGTGGTCAGAAACAGTGCCAATCAACATTTGAGGAGAGGAAGAAGACAAGTTGGGAAAATAGAGTATCTATCCAAGTCATACTGTATACTACAGGGCTGCCTTCTGTTGCATGGTTGATTAGGTGAGTGCAGAAGCTTTAATTTTGAATGAAGTTTGGAGTTTTTATTATTTACTCTAGCTGTACCTATCAGTTTCTAAGCTGAAAGTGATTAAAGTACCAGGAGGATTTTTATTATTTAAGAGAGAAGTGGGGGACGAATCAAAATTCTGTCCAGGGGAGGGAGAAGAATTACCTTATAGAGCATACTTCCAGGGACATTTTGAGAGAAAACAAAGTTACTTTGTTTTCAAAGTAAAAATTTCATATTTTAAAAATTCTTGTTTGGTTATTCTCTCAATTGTGTTTTTATATATCCTTTCTTCCTAAATGCTTTAGCTATAAGCAAATAAGGGTAAAGTCTTCATATGCAAGATTATACATGTTTTCCTTTATAATTGGAGAAAATGGTATTTTATCTGAACCCCATGTGTCACGTGACATATTTGACACCCTATATCATACCTAGTGTGTGACTATTTATAAAACACAAATTATCTCAAATCAACAGGATCAAAATTAGATTTGAAAAAGTGTATTCAATAAGATGTGTAAGTTGAGGTAGAATTAATTCTAATTGAATTCACAGAGGATTTGAGATGTAAGTCTGTAATATGGATTAGATGCGAATTAATATTAGATTTGCATTTAGAAAAATGTACTATGTTCAGTTCTGAGTATCATTTAGGCAAAATATTAGGACAGATATCCTATCTTGACTGTCTTCTCCCCCCTCCCCACCACCTAAATGTCATTGAAAAATCTGTTCATCTTGTTTATCAACATTAAAGACTGGTTTTGAAGAATGCAGAGAACCTGAGATTTACATTTTAGTGGGAGATAGAATATAATTAAGAAAAATTTTTATAGGTACAGAAAAATGCCCTTAAGAGGTAACAATTTTAATACCTTAAAAAACTTATCTATCAAATACTGAGTTTTAGATATTAAGGCTAGCAAATATATACAAAACAAAACAGTTTCTTGAATAAATGTACAACATTTAGCTTAAAGAATCCATTTAGGACTTAATATTCTGCTATCAGTATGTGGGCATTAAAATTGTTATTTGAAACATGTTGGTAATTAACTCAGAAAAATCCTTGGAATTTGGATTTAGGTACTATTATTTAGATTTTAGATATTGTCCAAAGGAGGTTGGTACTGTTTATAACATGGACCCTAATGTCACCCTAAAGTAAGGTATATAAAAAAAGAATATTCTAGTATGCAAAAAATGTTGATGGTCTGTAATGACATCATTCTCACAAGTATAATGCAGAGAGTAAAGTACTTAAAACATTTCTTTATATTATTTCATTAACAATGGCTATTCATGAAAAAATAAAACCCTCAAATATAGCAAAAGTGAATAGTTACTGAAACTTAGTATCGCTCTGAAAATTTATGTTGCTTAAAAATACTGGTTGTGATTATATAGCATTCTGAATTCAATGACTTTTAGACCATCTTAATTTCCTACCTAGGAGCTATTCCTCACTACCTCCTTACTGATAAGAAAAACCCCTTTTTGCTCAGATTGGCAATGTTCCCAGATAAAACATTCACCTTCTCAGACTCTTTTGTATCCAGGAGTGGCAATGTAACAAAAGTGTAGGTGATGAGGTCCAAATATGTTTCTGCTGGAGACTTCTGGGAATATTTTTGTTTTTCTAATACCGATATTCTTTTTGTCACTTGCTCTTTTTCCAGGCTACAGCACAACTGAAGAGGGAGAAGCCATCTTGCCTCCATGATTGGACAAACATGAAGATAAAAGCTTCCCTGTGTGGATGATAGAGCAAAATGATAGAAGGGGCTCAGACTCCCTTCCTTCAGACTTCTTGATATGTGAGGAAAATAAAATGCTATTATAAGGTTAAGCTACAGAAATGGGCCTCTATTTTATTCGACTAAATACGTCACAATTCAGACAGTGTCCATTAAATTGGTAAAAGTATCCACTTTAAAGGGTTAATCTGAGGGACCCACCAATACGTTACACAATCAAATCTCAGAAAAAATTAGTTTTTTTAATTCATTGTAATTTTGAAATTGATCTTTCATAGTCTTTTAGTTATCAAACTATTAAATACGTTTGACCGTTCAAATGATGTTGTGAATAATGCCAATGAATCCTGTTATTTTTCTCAGTGTGAGTAGAATTCTGTGTGTGTGCGTGCGACAGATTGTTACCTGTACTTCTACCAAGCAGATATAAATTGTAAGTTCCTTGGATTTTATTAATTTGCTGGAGCAGCTCATAGCACTCAGTAAACAAGTTTATTTACTAGAATACCATGGAAAAGTTGTGTAAGGCAAGGGATGGGGAAAGGGCACAGAGACTCCATGCCCTCTCTGAGAACACCACCCTACCTGCATCTGCACTCATTCAACCTGGAAGCTCTCTGACCCTGTCCTTTTGGGGTTTTTTGGAGGTTTCATTACAGCGGCATGATTGATTAAATCATTGGGCATTGGGGATTGATTAAACCTCCAGTCCCTCTCCCCTCCCTCCCAAGGGGTGAGGGAGGTGTGGAGGCAGGGCTGGGACTGAATATTCCAACCGTCTATTCATGTTGGCTCCCCAGGCAACAAGCCCCCAGCCTTAGTTGCTTTCCAAAAGTCACCTCAATCACATAAACCCAGCTGTGGTGGAAGGGGGCTTGTTATGAATAACAACACACCCAGTTCACCTTTATTAATTTCAGGAACTGAAGACAGGAGATCAAATATTCTTACAAAAAATGTTCCCATTGCTCTTATAGCTCAGGAAGTTCCAAGGATTTGGAGATCTGTGAGCCAGGAACCTGGGATGATGACCAAATATATATTTCTTATTATAACTCACAATATCACAAATTAATATACAGAGGTCTTTAAGTTAGGGGGAAAAACTAATATAGCCATTTCACTGATTATTAACTTAAGCCCTCAAGTTAAAATGTCCTTGGTCAAAGTCACAGATGTTATTTGCTATTTGCTCTGAGAATAAAAATGGTCACTTTGAACATCACGTAAACCATCCCTGAAATAACTTCTCTCAACCTCCCATCTTCTCCCATTGACAGAAGATGAAAAGTTTCTAAGTCAAAACAATCTTGAAAAGAAGGAAAACAACTAGAGTCTAGGAGAGGTTTCCAGCAAGTGCATGGGCAATGGCTAAGCTGAAAAATAATTGGAGGCCATAGCATCCTTTGCCCCTCAAAGGTGAGCAGTGCCTAAGAGGAAGAAAGCTGAGCAAGACTACAGTTTACACCTACCACCCATCCCTAGTTCAGAGATGCAGGGATTTTGCCAACCACAAATTTGAACAGCCATCTATTTACTGAAATATAACAAACTTTCGGTGGCAGCTAGGGACATTGCCTCTATAGACTTCACTACCCTCCAAGTACGTATAGTTCTCAAACCCTCAGAAAATTCAGTTCCCAGTAAAACACTATGAATAAAAGGAGTCTGTGGTGGGGATATACTGAGGAAGTTGGTAGGCAGAGAGGAAGAAAGAAATCTTCCCTGACCAGGAATTGAACCTGGGTGGAATTTGCTAAGAGCATATTTCATAAGTGTTCTCACCACACACAGAAAAATTTGACTTAAAAAAATAGTAAGTATATGAGAGGGTAGATATGTTAATTAGCTTGATTGTGGTGATTGTTTTACAATGTATATGTTTATGTATATCAAAACATCAGTGTATTTGTATAACTTAAATATATACACGTTTTATTTTTCAGTTATACCTCAATAGAGCTGAGGAAAAGAGGGAGATTAGGGGAAAAAGTGGTGAATGGAAACTTGCCATGTGGTGTAACTGTAGGCGAGGACAGTGATTGTGAGCAATGCTTGGGAGGTATGGGATTTCCATATACTGCTTCAAGAGAAAAAAAGTTAAGTAAACACAGCCAGAATAATCCAGAAGTAAGTTCTTATCCTAGAAGACAGAGAACCAGGCAATAGAGTAAGAGTCCAGCTCACTACAAGCTTGCTAAAAGCTAGAAATTATTCTGAAAACCACGTATGTTGGTTTGCTTTTCACTTTAAGAATACAAGGAGGCTTCTATCGGCATTCAAGTAGGCAGTGAGAGAGCTATAGGAATCTATGCCCCTGCCCTTTCCCGGGGCGGGGGGGGGGGGGGGTCTGCTTTGGGTCTTTGCTGCTGTGCGCCGGCTTTGTCTAGTTGTGGTGAGCGGGGGCTACTTTTTGTTGCGGTGTGCAGGCTTCTTATTGCGTTGTCTTCTCTTGTTGTGGAGCATGGGCTCTAGGGGCACGGGCTTCAGTAGACGCAGCACTCGGGCTCAGTAGTTGTGGCACGCAGGCCCTAGAGCGTGCAGGCTTCAGTAGTTGTGGCACGCTGGCTCAGTAGTTGTGGTGCACGGGCTTAGTTGCTCCGTGGCATATGGGATCTTCCCGGACCAGGGATCGAGCCTGAGTCCCCTGCATTGGCAGGCGGATTCTTAACCACTGCGCCACCAGGGAAGTCCCTATGCCCCCTTTTAATAGGCTAAACCAGACCAATTATATAGGATTGTGCAATCTTTATCTAAGGATGAGCACATAGCACACTATACAAGCAAATAAACAACACTTACCCTAAATAAAGTAAACAGACACAAATTGACTTATGAAAGAAATTCTTCAGCATAGAACAAAGGGAGAATTACTCTAAAATACTTATTGAAGTGATTTTACTATAACATGCAGAATAAATTATTTTAAAAATATCTAGAACTGAAGCAAACAGTCTATTTCAAAATATTTAGCAACACAGATGTCCTTATAAGCTTTGTGCAATGTTAAGGATAAAGAAATTGTCTTATTAAAATCCAGGTCCCAAGATATGTAGGTTACCTAGAGACTATAAAAAAAATACAAGAAACCTAAAGCAAATTCCAGGAAATCTTTAAAATTAAACCTTTGCAACATAAAATACTAAAAGATAATTGAGAGGTGTTCATAAGGCTTATTTTCTTTTTTTCCTTTTCTGCCAGGTGATAGGCCTGGGAGAAGACTGAATTCTTTTTACTTTCTGATATGCAAGTGTTCATAAATTCTGGCACTGACATAAAATCTCTGAAAAGTTTGCTCAAACACATGTCAGGGCGTCAAAAGTTAAAATTGAGAAGTAAAAAATAGAAAAATTTGAATAAATGTTCTTATCGTGAGCATTGATATGAGTGAATCCAATTAATTTATGTACACATTAATGTAGACACAAGGGTAATAATTGTCACTTGAAAAACAAGATATGTAATTGGAAAAAATAAGCATAATAATCTATACCTCTAACTTGTAATCTGTACCACATATTAAATTAACAAAGATCTGTAAATGTAGGGATGGGTCAGTAAAAGCACATTTCGTGTCTTACATAAGAGGGAGGTCAAAAGTTACATTTGTTTGTTAAATTTGAAGCTAAAAAAATTATATAATCATGAACTTTATTAAAGAATACAAAGTAATCCCAAAGCAAAATTTTAAAATTCTTCCTTCTTTTAAAATTACTACTAAATAAAATAGCAAACAAGGCATAGTGCATTGCAAATGACTAAACATAAATTTAACAGTAAAATAGCACAAAGTATGCAAATCAATGACAGGTTAGTATGTGCTAAACACTGTGTGAAGTACATTATATGGATTATCTCATTTAATGCACAGTAAACCTATGAAGTAAATAAATACTAATATTATTCATATTATTTCCATTATATGATTGAGAAAGTTGAGATTAAACACATATTCCAATGGACCACAGCTAAGACCAGGCAGAGCAGAGAATCAAGCCAGGCTTGACTGCTTCCTAAACCTTTACTTTTAATTAGTTTATACCATACTGGCTGCAGTTTGGATGACGGCTGGCACTAGGGTCATGGCAATGTGGGGGAAATAAGTTTGAGAAATATTCAAATGATAAAACCAGCAGGATTTGGTGATGGGATATATATGCAGGTTGAGGTAAATATCAAGGACAGTGTGGGTTTGGGGATTGTACAAATGGTCAGATGTGTGACTATTGCTGAGATAAGGAATATTAGAGGGGGGTAGATTTTGCGAGAAGCTTCTAAGTACTCCATACTTCAGATTCTGAACATTGCTACCATCTTGGTAGTTATATTAAGCCTCTGCTAGCAAATGTGAATTTAAAAGGGCCCTTCAGGGCTTCCCTGGTGGCGCAGTGGTTGAGAGTCCACCTGCCGATGCAGGGGACACGGGTTCGTGCCCCAGTCTGGGAAGATCCCACATGCCGCGGAGCGGATGGGCCCGTGAGCCATGGCCGCTGAGCCTGCGCGTCCGGAGCCTGTGCTCCGCAACGGGAGAGGCCACAACAGTGAGAGGGCCATGTACCGCAAAAAAAAAAATAAATAAAAAGGCCCTTCATTTCTACTAGTTATTAGACTAAACAGCAGAGAAAAGGAGAAAAATAATGTATTAGAATAAAATAAAAGAAAGCCTCCATGATCACTCCCTTTTACAAATAGGAAGAAAAATGATATAACTGAGAAGATAATTTATAATTTATTTGGACTTAACAAACTTTTTCCAGATCAATAATACAGATGAAATTTATGGAAAATAGAAAAATTTAAATTGTTACTGTTTTAAAATTTAGGGGATAAAAGCAGATGAATGCCTCAATAAATGGATTAAAAATAGTACCACTTAAGTACTGATGTACTCTATCTCATCTTCACAACAGATTTGCAGTGTGAAACCTTTCTAGATATGAGTGAGATCTATGCTGCAGACCCAGTAACGTACGGCTCAATAAGAGCTTTTATGGTATTTATGATCAATTTGAATGACAAACAAAGCACTATGGATTAGAGGTAGGCACACCACTTTATCC